TGGGCTCGTGTTCCAGAACCAGCTGACTGACCCGGCCTGCAGCGCCGTGGGAAACGTCCACGTCAAACTGACCGTCCATCAGCAGATTCCCACAGAAACAGGATGGTTTGAGTCAAATTAAAGCTCAGAGAAACAACGGCTGATTGTGAAACAACAAACCCAAAATGTTCCAGTTCGTCTCCCATCGCTTCAGGAAAGACGTTGCAGACCGGTTGGTTCAGTTCAGCTTCTCTGGCTTTGAGTTCATCAAACCAAGGAGAGTTTGAGCTGTGGCGGGCCGAGGCGTCTGTCCAGGCAGACAACAAACCGAAGCTTCACCTTTAAAACCAGAAACGTTGATCCGTCTGGCAGCTGCTCTGTCGGGTTTCTGTCAGTAGAAAAATGCTGCCTGTTTTGACTGTTGGATGCAAGATTGAATATCTTCATTCATCCTGAGTTGGACGCCTTGTTTTCCCCTGGAGGTTTTTCTGCCAGGCCTCAGATGAATAAACTTTAAATCTCCAGGATGTCCACAGATGAACCGGGCAGTTCTGCTGTGTTCAAGTCTTTTTTAGCAAGCTATCTGATGAATCCAGGAATAAATCTGACTGCTGTCATCTGTTTTTCCGCTGTTTGCTGGAAAGTGATGCGGTTCTGACCAATCAGCAGCTGGGAGCCTGAAGCAGGAAGTAGTCGATCAGCTTATGAAATGATTTTTATTCCAGTTTTCCTGCTGCCGTCTGATTATCTCTGCAGTCGTTTGTCATGAAGCGGCTGCAGGTCAGGCCTGAGCCTGGTTGGGTATCTGCTCGCCTTCCTGGTTTCCTGTTTGTGTCTGGTGACCATAAAAGGTCGAGACGTCGTGACCTCGTCCTGTTGAACACGACGTTCTGTTCGCAGGATCCTGAGCTGCTGCTGGCAGGATGAGACCAAGAATCAGCGCAGAGTTTTATTTTTCTGTGAATTTCATGGAGTTGCACAATATAAATAAATCTTCATGACTTTGTCAGGATAAGAGTTTGACTGCAGGAGATCCTGGCAGCTTTAACAGTAATGTTGTCATTCTGGGATTATCTGATATCATTTCCAAAGATTCATCAGCTGAACATCAGAAGCTGATAGAACGAGTGAAATCAAACCGTTAGCGTCTGGAAGCTTCTGGTTCAGGTTCTTCAGGGTTTTTATATTTTATTCTCAGTCATGGGCACCGCTAACTAAAATGTTAGCCCTGCTAACCCTGAAGCACTAATCATAAACATTAGCTCTGCTAGTGCTAAACCTCTGCAGGCCCATGCTAAAGCGCTACACCACAGGTGTAAATCCAGTCCTGGGGAGCCGCTGCCCTGCAGCTTTTAGATGAGCCTCTGCTGCAGCACCTGAACAGGCTCTGGAGATCTGATCTACACCAGGAGGAGGAAATGAAGCCGTTTCATTCCAGAGTTTTGTCCCTGTGGCACATCTGAAACCTGCAGGACAGCAGAGGACTGGAGTTTGACACCCCTGTAAACAAGGGATTTATTGGAAGCTAATGCTAACGTGCTAAATCAACGAGGTATTTAGCTAAAACTAATGCTAAAGCATTAGCTTCAATAATCCAAACATGTGCTTCTCTATTAGCGGGTCAGTAGAAAGTGAACTGATGTCACTGAACCAATGACTTTATTAAATTGAATAAAGTGAATGTGATGCTCGGGTTATAAATGTTAAATATTTGCAAGTTTAGGAGCCAAAAAATCAACAGAAACCATCAAACAGGCGACAGAAAAATGTGAAATTATTCAGAGAGAAACAAACAACCTGAAGTGATGAAGCTACGGCCCTGAGCTGCTGTCTGATGTTGGGGGGAACCGGTGTCCTTTGACCCCGCCGTGCCCAGGGGCCCCTGAGCATTGTGCCAGCCGGGCCCCGGCCCCCGCCCTGCGGCGAGCAGCATGGGACCCCGGAGTCCTCGCCTCCGTCCGTCACACTATCGCTGTCCTTTCCGCCCCATTGTTTGTGTCCAGCAGCTTCCGCGATGCCCTGCGACCCTCTGGAAGAAAACAGGCTGTGCGAGCGCCGCCGGGGCTGCTGGGTATTTATGGAAGCGGCCGCCACTGAATCACTTCCCACTTCACTCTGTAGCAGCATCTCTGTGTGTGTGTGTGTGTGTGTGACTTTCCTTTACAAGTCTGTTTGGTGCCTTAGAAGTGGTTTCTATTTCTGGCTGCAGCCGCGCGTCCTGAGCTGGTGAGACTGGAAACCAGCAACATGAACAACATCCGCTCCCAGTCCACCTCCAGGGGTGTTTACCACCGCTGCTCCCGCTCTCATTCATCTGGGGCCAACCCGACTGCAGCGCTACCAGCTAGCATCCAAACCTGCATGCTAGCTGGCCGCTCCAGTTGCAGCCGCTGGTCTCCATTATTAATTAAGCAGATTAATGACCCAATACTTGCAGAAAAAAGTTTTTCCAATGAGAAAAGTTTCAGCATCTGATGTTTGTGGTTCTTTGAAACAGTCATTTCAGAATCCTCCTACTCAGTCATTTGATGGTTATGTGTTTAAAAGTTAAGTATTTCCTTAATTGTGAAACAAATACCCAGTGGTTGGCACATTTCTGCTAACAACTGCTAGCAGCAGAGCTAATTTTTAGCTTCGCGCTTCATCAGTTGGCACACTTAGCTTTCCCTAAAGTAATTTTTCCAGATAAATTCTGAACTCTAGAATTTGGTTGTTTTGCAAACCTTCAGAGGAATAAAGCTCAGTATCAGTTCTTCAAACAGTTAGATGCTCGTGCTCTTATTTTGAAGCAGTTTTGTTTACAGTAGATTGAAAACCTGTATTGGTCTTAAATTTGCAAGATGAGAGTTCGAAAATGGCCAAAACTTTTTTTTGTCCGGCTGAATGAAGGTTGAAGTTCAGACACGTAATTATTAACGTCGCCTGCTGCAGTTTGCAGGCTAAAATAAAAACTCATCCATGGAAGTCATCAACACGTTTTCTGTGCATTAGCATGTAAATAAATAATATAGCGCTAAACTACAGATCAGTAGGTCTCTCGCCTCTTGCATAAAGAGTTTTCAGTTTTCACACTAAAGCTTGGCGTTTGGACGGTTCAGACTGGTGTTCCTTAAACTGTTTTGGTTTAAAGTGAATACCGCAATACTGTTGCTGTTCTGCGATACTTAACCAGTTGGTGAACAATCCTCACTTCTCAGACATTTTCCTTCACACCAGAAGGTTCATGACAGTTTTACAGAGATTCAGTATCTAGAAAACACTTTGCATCGGCATGCAATCAGCTGCTGTGATCCATTCAGACCCGTTATGCTGGTCCCAATAGCCTGGCTCTGGCTGTTGGCTCAGTGACTCTGACTGATTGGCACAAGATGCTTGAGCTTTGATCAGGCTGAAAGTTTCTCCATCCACCTCATCTCTGAGTGTCGGTGTAAAAGCCTTATCGGTCATGATGGATGTTCAAGTTGACAGAAAGGGCTTAAACCAGCAACGCACATCACCTGAGGGCCGATTTAATCATTAATGTGTTTCCTAGGAACCACTGCGGTGTCACTAAGATGGTCTCTGCAGCCGCCCAACGTCTGTTAATGTTTGCAGACTTTATGGCTCTTTGTCCTGCCGGCATTTGGACTGTGAGATCATGACGGTTTATGACTGATTCAACGATCTGTGTGGCGTTCCACCATGCTTTATGGTGATTACCTGTCCTCCATATTTAGGGGTTTGAGCTGGACGTCATTGAAGTTGTTGGTAGCAGAACGTAAAACTGGAGACTTGATGTTTCAGCCAATCAGGAAGGCAGAGTAAGAATCTCAGAGCAGATTTTCAAAATGCTCCTTTTGACTGAAGGTCTGCAGGAAAAGCAAAGTAAAGTCAGGAGGGTGGAAGTGTCTCTGCGGTCCTGAAGCCAGGCGTTAACGTTTAGTTTCTGATCAAACATTTACCTGCTGGACTCAGTTTCTCAATAAAACGAACACCGTCAGTCAGGGTGTGTCTCATAGAGTCTGATTTGTTAAGATGTTTCCATTAAAATTAGCAAGTTGACTTTTGTAGAGATTTCTGTTTCTGCTGATCTTCTTGGTCTTTCCGTCAGACTAAAACCCGTTTACGACACAACAAATGAGGATTTGAAGTGATGATGATGATGATGATGAATCAATGACCCAATGAAGACATTGCAGGAGGAGACATGTTGTCCCAACGCCGTCAGTCTGGTCCTCCATGTTGTCTGAACAGCTCTCAGAAAGGATAAATCTACCAGAATCAGATCCCATCATCCCTCAGGGCACCATGTCCAGAGGACAGGAAGTTATTCTGGAAACAAAATAAAGTGTAGATCATTCCTGCACAGAGATTGGACCAGTTTATTGTTCAGAGATCTGTGGCTTTCCAGAAAGTAGTTACCTGTTTTTAAAGTTATGGATAAGCTAACAAAACAACCACAAGAAGTCTTGTTTCCAGTCTGGACTCTGGTGAAGGTCAGAGGTTAAGGTTGATGAACCCTACTAGACATTAGGAAGTAAACATGCGGTCTAACTCTAGTCTGGAAAAGTCCTTGAATGTCTCCACTTGTTGATTTGTGTCCAGATGGACTGGAGCTGGTCCAGTGAACGCATCATGATGAAAAATTGTGATAAAGCTGAAGACCTTGGAACTAGGGATGAACCAATGGTGAACTTTAAAAAGTTTGACCTTCTGATTTGTCTTTGCCAAGTTGGTACCAATAGGGTGGCCAATGTGAGCCACTGGAGGAGGCTGAATTTCAGATCTTTGCTAAGATATATAAGGTTGGTGGATTCGCTCGGTATCTCAGGGAAGTGTCAGTCAATCGATGATCTCCCAAAATGAAGGAAATCCGAGCCGATTTCTTGGTGCACATGTAGCTGGAACATTTTTACCTGATCTGGTTTTAAAACACGACATTGTTGATCATATCTAATTTCATTTTGGTTTAGATCGGGAGTTTAGAGACTCCAGGGTTGACTGGTTGATTGATCAATCGATGTCTCTTCTTCCGTCCTCAGGTGTTCCCATCCCAGTCCCCCCACCCCCAGCTCCATCATGCCTATCCTCAAGAACCTCCCTGTGCACCTGAAAGGCGGTGGTCCAGTTCTAGACAACGCCTTGTTTTTCCGCAGGATGAGTCTCAACATCACTCCCCACCACAACCCCTTCGAACACGATGATGACAATATCCATGGCAATGGCGGCCATGAAAGCCACTGGTCGCCTGGAAGCTCGCTGTTGGACGGCGACGTGCCGAGGGACCGCAACCCTTTTGAGGATGAGGAGGACGAGAACGAGGCCAACGAAGGCAAGAAGGGAAATGGCAGTGGAGGGTCAGTGAAGGGTTCGTTCAAGTTTAAGTCGCCGCTGAAGAGTCTCGGAAAGCTCGGGAAGAACCTGAGGATGTCGGGAAAGAGCAAAGATGGCGACACACCGTCCCCACAAGGGTCGCTGCAGGGAACGCCGTCGCCTTCACAGAAGAAGAAGAGAGGCAGGAGGAGCTCAGAGGGCAGTCTGCTCAGGTAAGAGACCGCTTACCCTTCTATAGATTTCACCGGATAAGAAACGACAGAAACGAGGGATATATGACTTAGATCCTCTAGTGACAGAAACATTTATGTTTCATCTATTCATAGAAGCATTGATTTCTCTTTGGTTTTGTTGACTAAAGCTACTTTGATAAAACTTGGCAGTAGATTTGATATGTTTTGCCTTTTCATAATAAAAAGGAACAAACAAGAAGGATAACAGACGAATGGTACATCAGCAGAGATGTTCAACCTACGACCACTAGTGGTTGAATGGCTGACAGTTGGACTCTTCTTGTTCCTTTAAGATGTTTCAGTTCTGATTTGAAATCTCTCTAAAGACCTCAGGGATGCAGGCCTTAGAGGTTAAAGTAGTTTGTAAAAAGTCTTTTATGTTTTAATGTCCAACTGGAAGACTTTCTTCACCTCACAACAGCCAGAGACGCTGTAGTCTGAGTTGAGTGGTTGAGTTGAGGTTCCAGACATAAACTGAAATCGTGATGAATAAAGACCAGATCCCGACTTGCTGCCATCTCTTCCAGATTTGCAGGAAAATACCGTGACACCCTGACCTCCCGCAAGGAATCCTTCACCAACGGCGAGCTGAACTGCTCGGAGAGCGACTGCGACTCCGTCAGCCGGCGCCTGACCTTCATGAAGATGGTGGGCCTGGGGAAGCTGAAGAGGGAGTCCATCACTGACCGAATGTCCCAGGGCCCCGAGGACCAGCCGGTGCAGGAGGAAGTGGTGGAGGAGGTCAAACCCAGAGAGCCTCTGTCAGGTAGGAGAGCCACAAGGAATGGCTGGAGGCGACCAAACGCCCCATAGAGGCCAATTGGCTTTGGTCCATTTAGTCCCAACGACCTTTCTCCTGAAACACATGTTGAAGTTAGGGTTAGTTTTTGGTCTCCAGGGTTAAAGCTTCGAACACCACTGATGTAAACCATGAATGGTCCCAGGATTAGACTGTCGCTTCTGAATCGAGTCGTAGTTTCTTTGGGAAATTGTTGAGTGAGTCTGAACTGGAGCGCCAAGCGACTCTGTTACCAAACACTCAGAGTATTTTGGGCTCAGGGGAAGTGATTGGTCTTCTGTGGCTCAGTGTGAGGAAGGGAAGTCCAGCGGCGTGATTGAGGCTCAGCTCCTTGTTCTGGCTTTGTACGGAGAAACAATCCAGTGGCGTTCCTCTGGTCCGCTGCGGCGCTCTAGTTCAGACCCGAACCCGGCACTCTCCAGGTGTTTTCCTCCCCTGGAAGCCGTTTTATCGTCCAGTTTGTTTTCACATCACCCTGCCGATCTTATCAGCGTTTCTTAGACGCGACGCCAACAATCAGCCGAGTGCCGCTGAAGGTGATCCAGTGACAGTCTGGAATCTGACTGGGAAGTGTGTGATATCGTAAATATGTGGAGACTTCCTTTTGTTTATTCCCAGCCTGTTGACTCTGCTGTTTCGTAATGAGGGTTTGGTTCCTCCACACCCTTGTTTACACCCTCAACCAGAGCAGGTTTGTTTCCATAAATGATTAATCGGATATTTTCTCCGTCATTTGTCTGACTCTGAAAGGTCGGAAAAGGGGAAAGTTTGCGGTGGAAAGTGCCGTAGTGAAACAAAATGGGTTTAATCAATGTTTGAGTGTTTAAAGCTCCATGATCACCATCTGCCAACATTTACTTTACCTCAAAGAGCCGGTGCTGATAAGCGCAGAGCGGCTCCACCTGCCCAGCCGAGCCGAGTCCGGCTGCTGCTTTTTATCTGTAACTCTGGGAACTGATTAAAGCTGCAGATAAGCCCAGAACTATTCATACCCCTGCAGCTTTCCTTTATCTTTGGTAATGAGCTTTGAGACTGGAAGGCCTCCTTTCCATCACCCTAATGATTCCCGCCCTCCACAGAGCAGATTAGAGGCAGAACTCCAGGACCTTCAGATGACCTCCGGTCATTAGAAACACCAGGTCAGTTTGGGGAAAAACAACCTGAACCTGCTGGGGGTATGAATATTTTTGGACTTGATTGTATTTGATTCTGAAGGACAAACGCAGAGAGAGAGCAGTTTATGTTCACTTCAAAAGATTTTATTACAACTTAATTAACTTTTTCACTGTTGGTCATTCATGTAGCAGAATCCAGCTTCTATAGCTACACATTTAGTGTGAGGCTAAGAATTTAACTCCAAGCGAAATACTTAACTAGCTATTATGATAAATATTTATAAAGCTTAATAACAAGCTAATTAGTAGGTAGCAGTTAGCTCAATATTTAGCTAACATATTCATAGCTAAATAATATGGATATGAGTTTGAAACTAAATATTTAGTTGGCAGCTAAATACTTAGCTCTGACCTAAATATTTGCCTAACAGTTCCATATTAGCTAATCCATATTGGCTATATGCTAATAATTACAAATATTATAAATATTTAGCTTATATATTCATATGAGCTAATCTATATTGTCTTTGTGAATATATTAGCTAAATGTTTAGTTTGAAACTGTGATATTTATAAATGAATGAATGAATGAATGACGTGGTGAAAATATGACTTTGAAACCTGAACCTCATTTTTTCTCATATAACAGGCTAAATAACCCTGTTAATTTTTGTCAGTGTAACTTTACAAACAGCGCCCCCTACCGCTTCCCCCCGCCCCCCAAATGTGTTTTCTGTGGACTTAAGAGACCTGAGGAGCTCCTCAGGGATCACGCCCCATCTACCTGTTTTTTGTGGTTGT